CATTTATTTTCCAGCTGTATCATACCTCTGTGAAGGTACATGTAAAGCCGTTGAATACATTGGTAAAGGTCTGTGTAATGTCCTGGATGTAGCCATCGGTTTCCTCAAAGGAGTCGAAGCCGCATGCGGTTGGGTCAACAAAGCGATCAACTTTGTCCTTACACAGTTGTTCAGAGTACACAGGTAACATCTAACACACAGTGAGCAGAGATGACCATTTGTTATTTCTTGCTTACGTACGTAGGTAGAGATAGGGTAGAGTACTGGGGCCATTTTTTAAAATACTCTGTATTTTTTCTTAATTCCCCTTGCGAGCTCAACTCAACATAATACGCAGACTCGAAAAAGTACCCACCCGGTCGTATTGCACTCAAACATGTTTAGTAAGATATATTTTAAAATAAATGATAATTTTTTATTTGTCTCACGACTGAGGGTCGTTTTTAGTAGGACTACGACGTTTCTAATGCTATACTTCAGCAGGCGATGGGGTAGRCTGGATGGTGTGTCTGTTWTATAYCGCTCTTTGGATCAACGGTTTGCGCTGAGATAGATGATATATTTTCCTTTCTATATTCYTATCGTAGTATCAAATTCGAGTTTGCAATGGAGAGTTATATYGGAGGAATGTTCAAGAACATGGTGTTCAATGCTGCGGTAGACCTGACCATATTTGGAAAACGTCTGTACCTATCGCTCGCGTTTAGTTTGACAAACCCGATCGAAAGTCTGCGAGGCGGATCAACGAAGGCTACGAACTGGTACAAGGATAAGATGAATCCTAAAGGAAGGACAGATACTGAGAAGGAATACTACGATAAACCAAATCCTTTTGCTGACTTCGAGATGTCTGGTGAGTATTACCCTGACTTAGATCAGCCCAGAGGTTGTTTCAGGGTTTGATCTGTGAGTTAGCCATGCCCTGACTTAGATCAGCCCAGAGGTTGTACTAGAAGGGACTCAAGTTTTCATATTTTTTATAACATTTCAGAGCAATTCTCCATCGAGAACCAACAGGCAGCCACTGATGATCGAAAGGGCGGCTGTCTTTACGTGGAAAGCAATGCTAAGAATACTTTCGTTAAGGTTACTGGATGCAACGATACCGATGAAAGACAATTATGGGCATATACGCTAAAAGGACAACTCATGGTAAGCAGAAGTCACACAGGTTTTCACGCAAGAGTAAAATTTAAACAAACACAGCTTTTTTTCAGAAATTGACTTGCTGTGTCCACGATATATATATACTTTTGACAACCTTAAGGTATACAGGTATTTCAAATAAGTTCGGTGAAATTTTATTGCAAATTGCATGTCGAGCCAGAAATGCGCAGTGTACTATGAGTGATGTGAATCCTATCAGCGAGAGGTCGAAACGGCACTGCCAGACCAATCACATTGCACGAGAAAAAAAAAATCAGCGAATTAAAATTCTGGAAAACATCACAGTCACAGCACGGCTTTTCACAGTCATGAAAAAACTGCTCTACTTGAACATATACATAGTTTACTTTGCGTATCATTTAGAACGTCTGGAGTCGTCATTGTATTGACACCAATGGAGCTTCCATCGGGAACAAACTGATCCAGACCACGTGCAATCCATCACGTGATGATCAGAACTTCCAATGTGATCTTGTGGTCAGAACAGTCAAAAGAAGACGAGTGAACGTCTGTTGGCAAGCAGGTAAATGCACCTTTCCTAAAATTCGTTTGAGTGACCAAATTCTGTCCTTGACCACGGAAAAATAGTTCAAAGTCGAGGTTGCATATGATGTATTCATACATTTGCTGTGTTCATCAAGTCCAACCTCAACTAGGAGTTGTAAATTATTTCATTGACAACGCTGCGAAACGATGGTTCCAAATCTAGGTTGGACTTACCCTGCTCATAGATTAACTGTATTGCCCCCACCCCTCCAAAGACTGTTATTGTTCACGTTACACATTAGGGACCTCTTAGCCTGCAGGGCAACGCGGACGACAACGTCGGCTAAATCAAGGCGCTGCAACCTTCTATTATATTATTATTTCACGTTTGTCTAGTATTTTAATCATTATTCAACCCCTGTTTAAGAGTCAAGTGACGTCTTTTGGGAGCGCTTTACTTAAAACGAAAATCAGCAAAGATAAGCCTTTGGCGTAGCCGTTCTCTTTACTACTTAGCATAAGACGGCAATGATACACAGTGTTTGGTACATACCAACGGTGTCTATTGAATTGCGCAATTTTTGCTATTGTATTAATACCATCATCGTCGTCGTTGCCGTCCTKCACTTTAGGGTCCCCATTCTTTACATTAAAGTTGACTTTTGTTGACGATCTTGTCTTAAACAAGAGTAATGAGTCTGTAAGCAAGGGATATAGGGTTATTTACATGTACCGCATGGGAAAAGGGACTATATTCCTAACTGTCTTATTTTGTGTTTTCCAAAGGTGATGTCAGCTTGAATGGTCCCGGATCTCTTGTCCATTTGGGTTCTTTAAAATGTATTCACGTCGCTGGTGGTGGTAATGGAGTCCCGGCTGATGGAACGAAACTAGTTATTTACGCTGGCTGTAACGAGAAGAGGTAAAAAATGTCTGCCCCACAGAAAATATGCTTATCATTATATCCTATGGAGTTTAATTAAGGGCCCATTTACATGAATAATGTAGAGTGACTCTAGTGTGTGCTAGCACGTTTTTACCTGGCCCGCGAGACAGCTACCTAAAAGGAGAGAGTATGTTAGACTTAGTCGTAAGATCACCTTATTCACCATTTTCCATACATTGGTTCACTGGTCAAACACAAAGCGCTCAAGCGAGACGCCAAGGTACTTTCAAAGGATTATTCAAATTTGAACCTTTCAACCTCGACTGAATGCTTTGTGATTGACCAGTGAACTGATGTGTGGAAAATGKTGAATACTTTCATGTAACCGAAAGCCTTGCAGAAATAGAACATAAGACCTTTAGGGCATCACGTTGTCCCATTTCATACCGCTAGTCATTCTCTTGAGTATTAGATTCTTTGGAAAAATTGTATCAATATTCGTGTTTCTTTTCATGCGCAACTGTTAAACAAAGAAATGACTCTCAAGGGAATGACACGTGTGGATTAATAGGAAAACATTACGCTCATTGGCTCMTGCTCTTGGCTTAAAATGTTCCATCAAGGAATCAAAAAGCTATAAAAATTAACCAAGAATGTCAATTCTCTAAAAGAAAGATCAGTCTTAAAAATTCGTATAATTTATAATTTTTTGTATAATTCGTATTTGAAATTTTTCTCTGAGAATACAAGCTTTTTAAGAAACCAATTATTTCTTCGTCTCATGTTTCTTTTAGACTGGAATTTGCTCTAGAAAACGGTTATCTCATACACAAAGGAAGCGGCAAGTGCGTTGCTCCGACTGGCAAGATAGTCGATGGCATAACTCTGGGATTGCTTTCTAACTGTGGTGGAAACAAGTTCAGTTTTACTAAAGGAGGTTCACTCCAGCACGTTGGCAGCCGAAAGTGTGTGAATACCAGATCTGCGGTAAGATAACGCGAAATCTAATTGAGGGATTTACAATCTCATGACTAATGATAATAAGATAATCGAGTAAAAGAATCAAAGTACTGATAACCTAGRGTGTAATCTTGTCCTATATCAAACCAGCGTCATTCTCTTGARAACATTAAACAAAGTAATGATGCATTAGAGAATGAAACGTAGTTTGAAATGAGCAACATTACACCCAAGGTAAAGAGGCTTATATAGTATAATGTT